CTGCCAGGTACACATACCTGTTGAGACTTGTCAGAATGGGCCCAGCTCTTCCCTCGGGTGCTAGTGTAATGATTATGGCCCCACAGTGCTGGATAACATCCACATACACATAGCCATAGCCCGTCAACAAAACCACCTATAGGAAACATAATTATAATATACATGAGGAACATAAAGGACAAGACCCATTTCCTGACACGTAGGAATGTTTGACTTTTTTTCCATTTCAGAAACATGTTCTCTCATGGAAAAGTCAGAAGATAAGTCAGATGTCAGAAGTCTTTCTCAGCTATATCCCTGTGGATGTGTGTGAGCAAACCGAGCTTCTGAAATGTCACAAATAATACACATTCATTTTGTTTAATAGCCCCTTTGCTGCAATATCCAGCAATGTAGGGGAGATAAAAACTATGAGGAATGTATAGCCCTGACATGTACACACAGATGGTGGTATCAAGTCAGCATGTACAAATTATGAGAGAACACCCCTGCACAACGATTTTGAAATCTTTTATGTCATCACAAAAGCAGTTTATTTTCAGCTTGAACAGTTTAAACTGTAATAAAATACTAAGTGGGAAAATATGCAGGATGGGTTTAAATATGAAGGATGGGTTGAAATGTAAAAGGTACACACCGGTCAAAATTAATAATCAAGCATTAAAATGCATAAAGAGAACATTGCCTAACCACTTAGGATTTCATATTTTAATCCAGGCATATCTGTAATCCACCCATCCACTCCAATGACTGACAATTCTGGTGATCTGAAAACCCCTTTTGCCTACCCAAATGTAATGCACCACACGTACATCTAGTGAAACACACCAACCGAAGCCTGATGTATGAAAGCATCAGTACTATGTAGCACCTCACAACCTTCTTGTGGAAGCTTAAAGAAGAACTATGAGGTGAGTGATTTTCACTCAACCTCACAGGTCGAGCCGACGTGTGACAATTAAACTGTCACACGTCGGCTCAATAGCTCGGGAAGTGAGCGAACACATACCGTCGCTCGCTCACTTCTCGATCATGTCCCTGCAGAGAGCCGTAACTGTCAGTTTATGCACAGGGAGGAAGCTAGTTTATGCCCTCCCGTGACCCCAAGGAGAACTATGGGGAAAAACACTTACCCCATAGCTCTCCTTTAAATTGGATTGGTGATGACATTGTACAGGACAAATTCACAAAGCAGATGATTCTGCCCCACATGTGACAATGTGGTTTAAGTGGATTACACTCACAGGGAAGTTTCCCCTTTAATAGGATTTTATACCCATATTGAGGGTGTACCTGGTGCCATTCCAGAGCCCTCTATCCTCAACTCAACCATCACCCCCCACCCCACTTACCTGAATCACAGGGTGCTTCTCCCCACAGGCTTCTGTGTATTTTTAATTCAGCAATGCCGGCACAGCCACACCATTCATTCACAGATCCATTCACAGGATCTGTGAATAAACAATATACAAGTCTCATCTGCCACTGTGGCAGAAGTACTCATAGTTCTCAATGAAGTACAAGTGCGATGACGTCACTGCACTTGTACTCCATTGATAATTTCCTTCAGCTCCATAACTGAAGTTCTGTATCTGTGTATGGACCTGGGGCTGAAAGAAAAGTCTGCAGAAGCCTGTGCATTGCCCCTGTGATCCACTGATCTGCACTTATAGTTTATGCTTTGTCCCATTGTCTCTGTACTTTTATCCATCAAACCCTACATCACCACAGGACACAATAGTGACAAAAGGGTCAGTGGAACAAACCACAGCGGGAGACCAGATATCTGACACACACACTGTGCTGCAGCAAAATTATCACCTCAAGACAGCAGCAGAGTTCTCCCATGCTAGAAAAGGGATAGGTGGGTATTAGGCATTTTCTTTACACTAAGTGCTTGTTTTTAAAATGGCGACAGAGTCACTTTAAAGGAGAACTATGGGGTTAGGACTTTTCCCCATAGTTCTCCTAAGTGTAACGGGAGGACTCCCGTCACCCAAAGCTCAGTATACCGCGAGCTGTATACTGAGCCGCTGCAGCCGGAACGGATCCCAACAATTATGTCTGGATCCACACAGCTGCGTGAGTGACAGCTGGCTCTGCGTATCTAGATGCAGAGCCAGCTGTACCCGCCCCCCTCCCCCGTCCGTTCCGCCAGTCAGCGCTGGAGGATCGGACAGGGGAGGGGGGAATCCAGTCCCTCCAGTCACGGCTCTCTGCACGGATAGATCGAGAAGTGAGCGAGCGCTGGTATGTGTTCTCTCACTTCCCGATCTACTGAGCCGACCTGTGACAGTCTCATTGTCACACGTCAGCTCAGATTATGAGGCTGAGTGAAAATCACTCACCTCATAATTCTCCTTTAACAATCCAGCAGCAAAAGCAGGGCCCCTATCCATATCAGTTGAAGCATGTGAGGAAAACACATGTGCTGACATCTCAATAATGAAGTCCTGACAGACATAAGAACATTTTAGGTATCTTTAAAGTGGAATCCAAATTGAGACATCTGTTCTATATTTGTTATACACTGAGTGGCCAGATTATTATGACCACCTGACGTTTGTAGGCAAATTAGCTATAATTTGGCGCTGAAGTTGCTAGAGGGCCAGACCATTATACATAGGGAAGCAGGTTGTTTACCACGACAGTAGAAGTGATTTTTCCTGAAGATATGGGTAAACAACGCAATTTAACAGCCTTTGAACGTGGGATGATTGTTGGCGCTCGGAGCCATGGAGCGAGTATCAGCAAAACAGCAGAATTCGTTAATATGTTCAAGAGCAGCTGTTGTTAAAGTGTTTAAAGACTGGACTGTCAGCCGGAAATCTAAGTCTGAACGTGCGGTCGGCAGCGACTAGTCAATGTTAGGGCAGAACGGAGAGTGGCAAGACTGGTACAAGACAACAGAAGGGCAACAGTGCAGTGTCAGATTCCTCGCATCACCTTTCAACATCTCGTGGAATAATAATCTGGCCACTCAGTGTATGTTCCCATTCACAACTTTAAACAAAAACATTAAACATTGCTGCTTACCTTTTAACTTGCATGTCACTTGCTGACAAATCTTATTTAGCTTTCTCATTCTATGTAATGTTAAGGATGGAATTCAAATTAATGTTCCCCTTAATTAACCCTGTCTGTATTGTGCTGGCGGGTCTGACAGCCCCATTCTGATTTTTTTTCTTTCAGGCTCTAAGAGCAAGATCTCCCCCTTTCCCAGCTACTACAAAGCCAAGCAAGTGTGTCTTGCTTCTCTTGCTGCAGTCTCTGTAATGTAAAAGTATAAGAATCCTATCATAAGAATGCGTCACTGACAATTCTATTATGCTCTCCATAGGTGTATCCCCCAACTTTATGTTGATACCTGTGTGACTTGGCTGTTAATATCAATCAGGTCACTCCACTCTGCTGTCGTATCATCACATGCTTGCACTTTCAGGTAGATGCCGGGGAGGGAATCCTTGGTTCTGCAGTCTGGAAAGCTGGACACTTGATGATACATTTCATGATGAACTGAACATTCTGCTGGGATTTTTCTGCAATAAACTGCAAACTTTGGGGTATCTGCAAAAATATGGTGTCTTGTTAGGATCTTTGGTCGTCATTCATGCTTACCAAGACATGGGCTAGCAGCAAGGGGAGAGGAAAAATGTAAAACAATCCACATCCATAAAACCTCTTTCATGAATTATAATGTTGAAGGATAACAAGCCTGTTACAACTGCAATTTACAAAATGATCCATAGTTAGGTACCATTTGTGCAGAGCTGGCCACTGCGGCATGCAAAAAAATGTGTAACTCCACTCACTATCCTTAACTACTTTCTCTGCATAATGCCATGTGCTGGGGATATGTTAATATATGTCAACTGGAGAACTAGCAGCTGAAACCAGCCTCAAGTTCTGTGACATCACTGTATCTGAACAAGGTTGTCCAACCTTCATTAGTAGGGGACACTTTGGGTCATGGTCCTGTTTGAGGTTGATTGTAGCCTCTGTGAAGTGCCCATGGAGGATTTTATTTTTCACTACTTTAATATAAAAGGCAAGCAATGGGCCAACCAGTTCAATAAAAAGATTGGGAAAAAGATATAAGGATATAAAAAAGCAGCATGTCATTCAGCCTACCAGTACTTAGTTTTGGAAGGACTGATGCTTTCATGAAACATTACAACTATTTAAAAAAAAAAAAAAGAAGACGTTTTACAAAAATAATAATTTTTGGGTGTACTTAGCTACTAATTATGACAAATGCAAGATAACTGTGTGCAATAAGAGAAGCCATACCTTTGATATTTTCTTTCAGTAATAATGGCACAGTGCACCTGTTCCGGATAATAACACGAGGACTTGGGTCTTCTGTAAGGGTTAAATAGGTCACACCAAGATGTTCCTGATATGTCAACACCACAGCCCTTCAAAGATATTGGAAAACAAATGTCACAGGTTCAGCTGGATCATACTGTATGACTGGATAAAATAGCAGATCCGTTTTTTACAAGATGAGGTCAATTTGTTAATGGCTTTGACCTTCTAGTTAAAGAGACTCGATCTTAAATACAATAAACATTGTGGGAAAAAACTGTAATATAACAATCAAGGGAATCTTTTGTTATCACAAGTACATCCAGTTTGACTTCAAGATGGTCATGCTCTTGCACATTATGTCAGTCTATTTGTTTATATTTGCAGCATGTGTGGCCTGCGTCATAAAACATCAAAATTTGATCCAGCATGGCAGAACATCAAGCTGGCCAACAATCTTTATCAGTTGATCTGTAAACTGGAAGGGAATTGCCTTTTTATTCTATAAGGTCAATAGAAAAGGTCAAGTTAAAATCTATATCTCCACATGATCAGTGCTGCTCATGTCTTAACTAGAAAATATATAACTGAAGCCAAATCCTTTCGTGCAGATCTGACTATATAAGGCGGGCCAGGAAATTTATGGACTTTGCAAGTAGTATGTTTTACCTGTCTTAAAATATCCAATGTGCCCAACAGAATATCTTCAAATACTGTTTGTTTTCCAGGGGAAATTTAATTTTGCACTTCGGGATATTTGAATTTTGCCATATTTTCCTGTCCCATCTTTCAATTTGTCAAAAATATAGAACACCTTAAACCATACAGGGACAACATCTATAAACAGCTGCACAAAATCCTAAATGTGCAAGGTGTCCATTGGGTAGAGGAAGGGAAACATACTAAGAATTAGATGGTCAGGTAAGGGAAAGATCCTCTCTTCTTCTGCATTCCTTCCGAAGAGAGAGATAGGTCCCCAATAAAATTTGGTTACTGTCTAAGGGGTGCAGCGTTGGAAATGGGTGAAAATTATGCACATAGCATAAGGGATATATATATAAAAAATTATAATATCAGTGGTTCTGGTGATGACTGTCAAGATACAGTTGAGGCAAATAAGGTAGTTAAAGCAAACCTATATTGAGGGGAATTAGGGGGCTTCCACTGTTGATCTTCTTTCAAGGATACTGGTTGTAGTCTACACTCAAATTGATGCAGCTAGGTATTTATTGCCAAATCATTAGATTTATTTTTTTTGTAAATGCAACCAGTGTCATTACCTGAATTTGACCTGGTATCAGTCTCTTGCACTCCTCTATACAGCAGAATTGGGAGTGAAAGGGGCAAAGCTGGGAGCCAACCCGGTGTGTTGAATGCAAATGTGTTTACAGGAATACGTGGATAGGAGGTAAGCGCAGGATGGGCAGAGTGACGCACTCATCTCTCCACTGCTCTTTCACTGACCAATCAGAACGCTAGGTGTGGAGACACCTCTATGTTTCTTTGAAGTTTATCCAAAGCCAAATTTGTTTTTATTTTAGTTTTTGCAAGAACCCTTGTAAGGTTTTTATTGCCGCTTGTGTCTGCTTGGAAGATGTATTCTCTCTATTTGGTCTGGTGACCGTTGTCACATAGATTGAAAGTGAGGGAGAATCCAAAATTTTAAGTTGTCATCAGAACAGGAATTGAGGGAAAGCATTGTAACAGGGCCTCTTGTTCTGATGGCAACTGTCTAGGAGGGAACTTCCTTTACTCCAAAGAGATATCCCCTGACTTCCAGTTGTGTTAGGAAGTGAAAGGCTGGGCACACACCTTACAACCATCACAAGACTTTTGCCTTACAATGGTTGTAAGGTACTTGTTGTACTCCAATGTTGCATAGGCAGATCGTACTGTTGTACTCCAATCTTGCATAGGCAGATCGTACTTGCAATGATCACAAGCCACGCCCCCTGAGGGGCGGGCTTCCGATGACCGCAATGCCGAACGGGCAGTGTGCGCCTGCGCACACCAGCCCATCCGGCTTTTATCTTACGAACATGCTACACACCCGCCGAACATCGTACGATGCTCGGCGGGTTTTCAAACATGTTCGTAAGTTTAAAGTCGTGCGACCTTAGAGTAGTAGAGGTCGCACGGCTTCCACACACCATCGTACGATCGCGGGATTTCCCGCAATTATCGTACGATTATCGTAAGGTGTGTGGGACCTAAAGGAAACACGCCCAATGAAACACAAATTATAAAAAAGACTTGACAGGGGTTTAAACAATTTCCTACTCTATAAATAATAGAAAAAAGGTTTGGGCAATAAAGATACACTTTAACTGTAAGTGGTGTCATCTACCTGACTGTGTTTTGTGTCAGATCTGTGTCAATTTCAGGAGTGGGTGGACAGAAATACAAACCCTTGGGCAGGTAAAACTGCTCCCATATCTGTATTTCGCTCTTTGCCTGGAGTTCACCTTCAATAGTGAGACATGGCATAAAGCACAAACAAAACATCTCCCTACATTTGCAGATATAACATGTTAGGTGTCTTGTTAAGTTTGTGATGGAAACAGACTGACCAGGAGGAACCATGGCATTTACACACATGGAGGTGTCAGCTAGTAGTAGTAGTAAGGTAGTCATCCACTCCATTCATATTTAATCATTTTCACAAACATTATTGTTTTGCTATATCAGATTCCAGATCAACAGAAAGAGATATAGCCATACTTTGTGCACAAGTCATTTCCACCGCAGTCTCCTAGTGGCACGGTCACACTCTGCCGGGGGAACTCCTGGCGAATGACGGTGGGTAGACTCCAGCACTCAGCGCTTCCAGCCGTGGCATTGTGGCACAAGCTGAGGAGAATGTACTTCTGGAGAGGAGGCGTCTCTGCTGTGCAGTTACTGGTGTCCGAGATGAGATCCCAGCAAGGAAATGTGTTGGATTTGGCGACATTATGTTCCCCAGCTGGGCTGATGCTGAACACAGTGCTGTCTGGTACAGGCACATACTTCAGAAGAAAAGCAGGGGGAGAAAAGGACAAAAAAAGATAAGCTTGATTAAAAGAAACAGATGATTTAGTCCACAGAGGTTTGACTTATTATTATGAGTTGGACATTTGAAGCCAAACATTGGATTGTTGAAGTACAGCCAGATTTCCGACACAGAACGCAAAGATATCATTTTTCCTTGGGCTTTAAACATAGTTCACAGAGAGGTCTCATTGTGTTGTATTTGACTAAGCAACAGGTGAAAAGTAGATATTTCCCCAAAAAACCTTTGCGGTTATAGCATACAGCGGACAGATAATAGCTAACATGAATGGTAAAACATAATACTGTCCAGGTTCCAGTATGACCTATATGCAGGTGTTCTAGTGCCCTACAGTGACCTGAAATTTAGCCTATAATGTATAATGCAGATTGTGGACATAGTGAGCACTGTGCAGCATCATGGCTTAAAGGAAAAAGAAGGACTTTTCACAAATGCTTACTATACAAACCCCTGTTGTACTCCAATCAGCAAGTAAAAGACCAGGAGGATGATGGAAAATTCAAACGCATGCTGAAGAACTCTAAACCCTAAAGTAGGGAAGTGTTGGAGCTTGGCATGAAGATGAATGAGTTGCACACCATGCTAAAGTAATATAATTAAATGTAGAGATTTAATGGCAACACAAGGGCATTGCATTCATGTAGTGTATAAATGCTAACCACTGCCTTGTCAGAGAGCAAATTACCTCTGTAAGCGCTAGAATAGTAATTCCCCCAATGATTCTTAAATGTATGGCTCATCTTCAGCAGTGGTACACTGGTCACTAACCAATCCACTAACCAATCCTCTGCTAATGCTGCTTCACAGATGCCCAGAAGCTTCCCAATGATTCTTTTATGGTGTATTGAGCGGAACCTGTGTAGAATAGAAACACCCTAGCATATACAGCCATCATAAGAGGCTGGGTAATACCTGAAGCTTTGCTTTGCCTTCAAAATACAGCTGCACCTCCTGACATGTCTAAAACAAATACAGATTGTTAAAAGGCCACTCCTGCACCTGCTGCTGTATTGTGGAAGCGGAGGTAAGCTTTGCTGATCTCACCCCACCCCACAACTCTGGATATTTTGGGGACCTCCGCACCATACTGAGTATAGTTGTAGTAACAGCGTAGCTTCTAGCACTTTAGGGTGCCCACCATACAGGACCCTTTGACTTTACAAACATTTTTGCAATACAAAATCGTATACAGTGTATCTAAACCCAAAAACAAAAAATGTAATATGCTGGAGCTTGCAAGTCCTTAGATGAGGTGACTGTATTAGGCTGGGTTCACACCTAGGCGGATTGAATATGCGCGTTTGTTGCGCGGTTCGCGTCGCGCGTTTTTACCGCGATTCGCGGTAAAAAAAACATGCGACAAACGCACGTTTCCGAGGGCTACTTGGCTGTTTCCCAATGGAAACGCCCGACCGAAACGCCCCAAAGAAGTACATGTACTTCTTTGGGCGTAGGGCGGTTTCCCGCTCGTTCGTACTCGTGGAAAAACGCCCAGATGGAAACCATGCACATTAAAAATAATGGCATTTCCCTGTTTGAGCGTTTTTCCGCGAGTACGAAAGCGCGGAAAAACGCCCAGGTGGGAACCGGGCCTTAGTTTTCATTGTTCAGGCTGAGAACATTTTCAGCAAGGATAGAAAATAACTGTTCCTCTTACCAGAAATGCATCATCCTTGTCACTTTCTGTGAGCTGAACAGACAGCACAACAATCTTATCTTTCTTGTGTAAATTACTAATTCCATCAACCCTTAGGTTAATAGAGATGAACAAAGTCAGATATGTTTGAAGTCCATCCTGGGTGACAACCATGGCTCCCATAACAGATACAGAGGAGGAGTAAATGTAGCCACCAAAGGACAGGAATGTATTATTCGCAAGATTACCAGGTGAAAATAAAGGGAAAGGTCTGAAGAAAAAGAAAACTAATGTATCCACCACATCGAAGGACTAGTAAGCTGCAATATATTACATTTTAGTTTTTGGGTTTAGATATGTTTTGACTTTAAACACTCATATCAGCTGTCCTGAATGATCAGATAGAACTAATGTCAACAATGTGCTACAGCTATCTATAGCAGCCAAAACTAATATATTTTTTTTTTACTAACTAGCAACAGTTCTGAAACTATGAATTAAAATCCCCTTCATAATCTTCTCTTTATAAAGCCTAAACAGGCCATACCTTGCTTTATGTAGAATAGAACCCAACAGGAGTGAAATGACGGACTCAGCAGCAGCGAGTATTCTAGTCCGCCTGACTGTCATGTGATGCAGTGCAATTACTGACTGAAAATCGTGTAATGTCTAGGGCATCTTAATACAGTGTACACAGCTAGGAAATAGCAATAACATTAGCAGTTTATAAGTAATTAAGAAAAAGCTGCAGTCCATGGAAGGAAATTGCTGCATCTCTTACCTCTTCATCAGAATTCTGCAGAGAAACACACATCTGCGGGCTGTAGTAAATCTTAAATGTAGTGTTGTTAATGATAGTTGTCTTGTCTTCAATCTGCAAAATCTGAATTCCGTTTCGGACCATTGATGAAATGCTAAACTGACAAAGCTGGAGGAAACAAAGATGAATTAGTAATGTGATACATGTGAGCCTAACTGAATTGTGTTAAACAGAAGTGGATATGCTATAAGAAGAATAAACCAGCATTTCCCCAAGATTGGAAAGTGTACCATTGCAGGCCATTGTTTTCAGTGGTACATGGGCTGTTTCTGGAGCGCTGTTTTCAATAATAATATGAAATAAAGACATTATTAGGAAGGATCCCTGTTCGAGAGATAGTTTTTACTTACACGTGGATATCAAGGTTGGGCAGGAACCTTTACCAAGCACCGAGGTCGCAAGGCATGCATTTGGACACGATGGGGTATAGCTTTTTCAAGTGGTTTGGATTGTTACATGGGCTGACTATTTTTAAATGAAATCTGTAATGAGAGAACAATGGAGGCTTCCATAGCTAACCCCTCATTGTGAGAATGCTTGTTCCCTGGTTGCTATGCTGTGATACATGTCAGCCTATTCAATTGCATTGTGTAGTGTATATGCTATAAGAACAATAAACCAGCCCAAGAGTGGAAAGTGTACAAAATGGGTCATTGTTTTCAAAGGTATATGGACTGACGATTTAAGGGAATCTGTCATAAGAGAACAATGGAGACTTTCATAGCTAGTTTTGGGAATGCTTGTTCCCTGCCATGCTAATGCTTTGGCTTTAATACTGTCACTGAATCCTGAACAAGAAAAAAAATAATTTTGACACTTTTCTGACACTACTTCACAGCAAGCATGTCTCAAAAGTACATGTGACATTATTCCTTTATTCTGTGATTCACACGGTGCCTTCCGTGGTCACTACAAGCACCCACCCAGCTTGGGGTTACTCTGGTTAGGAGTGCAGCAAGACATCCTGTTTTTAAAAGTACAAGTCAGACACAGCCAGGTATCCAGGATTTACAGGAAGAGGCCAGCAATGACAGCCTGTACTTCTCTCATGAAAAAATGACTTTAAAGAAATCCAGTACTGAAATGAATATGTAGGCTGCCATTACTCATTTCCTGAAAATGGCAGCTGCAACTTAAAAAGTAGCTTTAAATTACATTATCAGCTTTAAAATAACAGGGTAAAGGTGAATGTGAAATAACATTAGTGAAGAATCCAGCGCTCTGGGATCACCTGGCCAAGTGCACAATGCCACATCATTGGATATTTATGTCTGCCGCAGAGGTAGATCTAATTCAATGACTGTGTTGTTTTGTGTCCACATTCAGTCAGGTGATCATCTAGATTCTTAACAAAACATATGAAATTCTCATGTATTATGTCCTGATCACTTATATAAAGTTGGGGCTAACAGATTTTAATGACTGGGTCTCTTTAAAAAAAAAAAAAAAAAGGTTTTGGGCAGAGGCACTGTTCATGGACGTAAAAAAGAAAAAATCCTAGTCAAGATATTCAATATATCCTTGAAGACTAAAAAAACATGAAACCTTACTATGTGCTAGCTCTGCCCTAGCTTACCCATAAAACAAGAAACCCCTCAATGAAGCTCATTTAACTGCGTTTCAGATTTTGGATCATTTTTAAACTATATATCCTTGTTAACGGTAATGCAGAGATTGCTGTCTAATTTTGCAATAAACTACAATTACATTTAATTCAGTCTATAAACCTCAAATTGTTTTCTGTGGCCTCCAAACGACGTGTTGCTGCTTGCCAATTCAAAGTTATAGGTACATTATTAATTTACGATACTAATTTAATTTTCATATGAAAAGCAACCGGAGAGATGGAAATGATGGATTCTGCTACATTGTGCCCTGCGAAAAGAAATAGAAAACTAGGACAGCATGCACCATTTACTTATGAAGTTGTTCCACGTCTCAGGAATGCAGGTGTACAATGCCAATGGTACTAAGCATTGAAAATTACACTAGTAAAAACATTTCCAAAATATCAAAGAAGAGGCAAGTTCGGAAATGAGGAGGGAACATAGGAAACGGCTTGGCCCTGGGGGTAAACATCATTTGTGTTTAAATATTATTGGTTTTTAAATTGCAAAAAAAATTTATGCAGGTACTTTAAGAACTCGGCTTTTACATCAAATGTAACATTCATTTTTTCCAACAAAGGATCTATTCACACTCCCACCGAGGACACAAGAGCAAGAACCCTCAAAATGTTTTTTGGCTAACCAAAGCTTTCCTGCTGAACATGTGTGTCCTTTACTGTACACCTGTCAATTTTGAATAACTTTGAGCTTTTGGGAATAAGAATATTTAACATCTCACTTTCTGCCCACCTCCTCCAAGCCTCCAACATTTCTGCAACAGTTTTCTCTTGAATTATTATTGGAAACTAGACAGAGGCACTAACCGTCCTCCACTCTACTAAAACAAAAATAATTTATATGTTCTTGTTGTCAAAGTATCACCCTAACCGTCCTCTCCGCTCCTCCCAAGACCTCCTGCTCTCTAGCGCCTTCATCAACTCCTCCAACGCTCACCTCCAGGACTTATCTAGAGTCTCTCACATCCTTTGGAACTCCCTACTGTAGTGATATAATGTAGCGGGTGTATAAATATATAAATACCCAAATATATATCTTTATATTTATGTGCGTTGTGAAAATCCAGGCAACCTCAGTTAATTTCGAGAGAGTAACGTTAAATTTAGGGCTGGTAATGATTAAAACTTTCCTGTTCGATTAATGGAAATTTTTTAAATCGATTAATTTCGATTAATTATAACGCACATACGGATCCAACTACATTGGCCTATACACATACAGCACAGCAATGAAGTAATAAAATGAACTAGGATCACACTAATCCAGCACGTTATTAATCTCACGTGCCCCACTCAATATGGCCGCCGCTTAAGTGGGGCAACTCAGAATAATAACGTGCTGGATTAGTGTGCTCCTAGTTCATTTTATTACTTCATTGCTGTACTGTATGTGTATAGGACAA